CTACCTTCCTTATGTTCCCTTGTTCATAGAGTCTTTAGCAGAGCAGTAAAGGTGCATTTCCTGCATTTCGTCGTCATGACAGTCTTTGTTCAGGTAAGGAATTGTTTTCATTCTATGTATGTATAGGCCAATTTTGGCTTGTTAACTAAAGGAATGGTATGTTCAATATTATTAATTCTGCTACTTTGTTCAGGTTATGGATTAGAGATGAATAAGAGGGGTTCCATGGTGCATTGGCTATCAATCCGAAGGATGTACTAATTATATTTATTTTGCCTTACAAGCAGGAGTACCACATATAAGGAGCACAGCTACGTTGTTTCATTATGTAAGTCTATATAGATCAGTACCTATAGTATGCTCTATGTACCGCTTGTGTTAGGACATCAGTTGAGAAAGGTATTATGGTAGTGTACATTGTTATTGTAAAAAGTACTATCGTTTGTGAACATGATTTACGGATGTAATGATTATATATCTGTATGCTTTGTGTTCATCAAGCTATTAAGGGCCTAGCTGAATTAGTAACTATTATGAAACAAGATAAAATTCTATCACCGTAACTATAGGTATGATGCGGCAGGGATCAAAAGTATATCACCGCCGAATCCTTTAATAACCGGACACCGACTAAATGATCATCAAAGGCGGATTGTGGTGCAAGGCGACGGTGACCATGACCATGACCTTTGTACAGGCGGATCATACACTGAAGTGACGGTGGTGTTAACCTCTATACAGGCGTCTCGGCCGTCGAACCGACAGTGAACCCGCACCGCTAACAGTCAGGTCGAAGTACAAGGTGACGGTATTGGTGACCACTACACAGGCGGTTCATGTGCCACACGACGGTTTTGATAGCCTAGACATAGTCGGATCATTTGCCAATACGGCAGTGTTAGTGTACATCCACAGCCGGGTCATGCTCCAATGCGACTGAAGTAAGGACCTAATCACGGATGGATCATAAGTCAATCGGTGGTGTTAGTGTACACCGCAGTTGGTCCCTGATGGCGATGGTGAAGGCTATGACCATCATTGTCGACAACTTACTACAGAGGACGAAATTGGACTGCGATGTGGGTTATGACGCGGTTGTGAAAGGTGCGAGTGTAGTACTGAATCTAGCCAAACAAATCTTCCAAAATTGAACCTGTTACTATTTTTAGGTTCCCAAAAATTGACTAAGTCTAAGATTGCTGAAATTCGGGTTTCATTTTCCAAGTAGCCATCTTTAGGAATTAATATCTTGCAAACCAGCTCGAATCTGACCAAGCTTCTTTAAGCAAAGTTGTTGCACTCGTATAGCTCTATCACACGGTGGAATCGGTTGATCAAATCATTAATCGGTTTGGGAGCTAGAAGGGGGAGAAAAATAGAGTTTCAATCGATTTTTCATGCACTTTTGAGTAGCACTTAACATGGATAAATCATATGGCATACAAAACAGTACCAAACAATAGGTTTTATGAAATAAAATCTTCTGCAGGTACACTAACCACGAATGCGTAGATTATTTTAGCTGACGACTAACTATATACAAAGAGAGTATGTGTTATGCCACCAAAATAGAACGTGATTGCCACCTTAGGCTGGCAATTTAGTGAGGACGATTAGGATGAGCATGCATCATGACGATTGTTGCTTTATGCGTAAATATGCTCCCCTCACCCATGTTCTAATAATAAGTAACTTGTTGCAATCTGTGCTGAATGTGATGTGCTAGCGTCCTTGTAGGAAACTAGAAAGATATGCCTTGACCTATGTTGTTTGAGTGGCCCTATTAGGATATATTATGTGATGTTATCTTTCTTGTGTGAAGAATTTGTGCTAGACTTGTAAAATGCATAACTTGAGCTAGGAATATCCTATTTAGGTGAAACCAATTTGGTTAGCTTTGTCTTGAAATGCTCCACCTAAGAGAACTATAAAACTTGTTGTTTTGTACTGTATTGCATGCCATATGACTTATCCATGTTAAGAGCGCCACCACCAGCCGCCGGCAAGAGCCTGTGTTGATCGGCTCCTCCAACCTAAAACCACTTAGAAAAAAATGAGCTAGGGTTTATACTGATCCTTTGGCCTAAAAATACTTCCAAGTGTTAGTTGGCTAGTTATCACCTTTTTCATGATGTTAGTTTGACCATCGTTGATCTGTGTCTTCGAGTGTTTGCATGTTGTTTAACCCTAAATAAGATTTGTAGTATAGCTTGAGTAGAACAAACTTTATTTAAGGACCTAGGCCTATATAAATCTATAGCAAAAACTTTATACTAACACATGACATATTATGCTTCTACTGCATAGATCTAGTCACAAGAATTCCAAAACATCTTCATTTCCATTTTATGATGTTTCTATGAATTACTATGCTTTTTCAAAGTTTCAGTCGATTATATGCATAAAACAAAACAAAAACACTTTTGCATCTAGAACCCTAGATCTTTAACTAATCAACCAAGCCTCAATCTGAAGAACCTTCTCTCTGATTAACTTGCATCAGGAACCCTGATAAGAGTTTCTAATTTGTTTTCTTCCCTTCCTTCTTCCTCAGGACGATGCAGGGAGCAGGGAGCTCGATGGGAGGAGCCGATTGGCACAGGCTCTTACCGATGGTGGATGGTGGCGCTAGGGCAAGCTTGGGCCCATGAGCACCCACGGAGGGGCGCAGCTCGGACCGAGGCGGCTTGACAAGGCTGGCCACGAGCAGCGGTGGCTCGAAGTCATGTGGTCTGGCGATGGTGGGAAAAACAAAGGCGGTGGTAGCTGGGATACTAACACATGACATATTATGCTTCTACTGCATAGATCTAGTCACAAAGATTCTAAAACATCTTCATTTTCATTTTTATGATGTTTCTATGAATTACTATGCATTTTCAAAGTTTCAGCTGATTATATGCATAAAAGAAAAGAAAAACACTTTTGCATATGGAACCCTAGATCTTTAACTAATCAACCAAACCTCAATCTGAAGAACCTTCTCTCTGGTCAACTTGCATTAGGAACCCGGGTAAGAGTTTCTAATGTTGGATATGGACTCGAAGATGATGTGTTTGGTGGACCTATCCCAAAGATGGAAGGGCCCCTGGAGTGCATGCCTGGAGCGGAGATGTTTTCCGAGACGGTGCAAGCTAACTGAACTGACTTTGTGTCGAATCCCAGGCAAGCCCTGGAGTATTATAAGCCTCATGCCCTCTCTTTTAAAATATGAGTTTCAAAAAATTTAAAGCTTATTTGATATTTTCTATCGTTTAAATGAATTTCTATGTGCTTACTGAAAGTTTTTCCAAATTAAACTGTGTGTACTTCCAATAGAATTAAAAAATATATAAAATTACATTTATGCTCATACATTTCCATCTATCCCATATCATAGAGTTGTTGGGGGAAAACATTTGTTTGCTAGAAATAATTCATCCTTCTATTCCTAAATTACCATAAAATAATTGTAATAATTCTAAATTTTGTCAAAAAAAATCTACAATTTTGCATGGTAATATGTTTTGGTTATATGATCTTTATATAAAATCTCAAATGATTTTAATAAGATGAAAGCATACATTGTTTACAAATTGATACATCTCTCACATAATATGTGAAGAATATAAAAGATGTACCAAATTACGAATAATGTATCTACAATGTTGGACGGAGAAATAACCAAAATAAGTTGTAGAACTTCTACGAGTTTGTATTGTTTAAATAAAGTCATATGAAAAATTGACCAAAACAAAAGTTGCAGATCTCAATAAGTTCTACAATTTTACTTTTGATGACTTTTTCATTTGAATTCATTTTGTATCCTAAAATTTGATTCGAAGTTTTTACATTTTGAAATTTTAATGTTGAAATTGTTAGACCAGATTCTTCGTGACTGAGATGTTTTCAATTCAGAACTTTGGCGCTTGGCGAGCCAAAAGTCACCGCCAGTTTTAGCGCGCCATCAACACCCGCAGCTTGAAAAAAAAAGGAACACACACAGCGGCTCCAATCCTAGTGCGTCTATTTTTCATTTGGCTCCGCCGCCGACCGCAACTAATCTGCGTCGTTCTCCCCAAATCCGCCGCAAGCGGCAAGCCGCTCCACGCCTCACACGAGATCCGGCGTCCGGTCGCCCAGTTGCCGCCCCTCCCAGTCTCATCTTCGATCTGCGGTGGAGGCGTCGTGGGCGTACCAATTCGATCCATGGCGGAGGAGGCGCGTCCATCTTCGATCTGCGACGGTGGGCTTGGCGGCGCTCCCTAACCTAGGTTCGTTGCTTTGCCTCTTCAACCACCAAATCCCACTCGAACCGTAACCCGAGATCCTCCTCGTCTCCAGATCCCATCGAGCTCGATGTGCGAGGAGGCTGGGGACGCCGACGACATCTTCGCCTACTCCGGCAGCGCTGATGTAGTGTCATGGACCTACTAATGGGCTATCCATTGGGCCACTCTACAAACAAGTGAAGATTCGAAGGGAATCGGCCTTGGCCCGTAACGGCCGGCAACAAGCAGTACTAAAGGAAAGAACGGAAGCACAGAAGAAAGGGGAGGAACCTGACGGTGATTCGGCGGCGAGCATCTGCTCGAGGCTTATGTGACTCGAGATATGCATGATCCTTACAAATTTACATAGCCTAAAACACAATTTTTTTCATACAACGCTCAAAACCGAATAAGAAATAAAAAGAAGATCGAAGAAGATTCCCCTGCGGCTAGCACCCAGCAGGTCACACTGTATATATATATATATGTTTGCTTCATTTGATCTCATTGTAAATGTAAGCATTCCGGTTCCTTGTTTAGTTGTGTCCAGCACACACGCTATAGCTTAGGCATGCGACTGCGACAAGACCGGCTCTAGCGTACACGGACGTACCTGCTGGCTGCGGCTTGCATGTTTGTAGTAATGAAAACGCTCCCCGACGTTTGGTTTGGAGCGCTGTATGTATCCAAACACGCCTTATATGCCGGACAAATATAGCAGCCTCAGTGCGGTACGATATCCAACCCTAGCTACTTCCTTATCTGTTTGCTGGTGGTCTTATCCTGTTTCTTGCTTTTCTTCCCTGCGATCATGCAATAATCAAATTTGTAAAATACTATGACAGGCCAGGATGAAAATTACATTGTATTACATAAAATGAATTTAGAAAAAGAATCAACAGTTGTTTTTAATAAGGAGGAAACATAGATTAACGTAATGGTTATCCAACTCAAACCGTGGCAGGTGCACGGCCTTGAATAACACGGACGGCCCGTGTGGTGGAACAATGGGCTGGGCAATCACCAACGTCCATGATGCGTTACAGCCCAAAGCATAAGGAGGCTTGCGCGGACGCCGAGCCCAGTAGAGGCCCCGCCCCGACGTGAGTGAGTCAGGAGCCGTGCGTGCACGAGTAGGTTGGCTGGGCTGGAATGCTCCTCCCTGTCGGTCCGGCATGCGCCACGGTTCATCGCGTGCCGTCGTCGTGCTGTGCCGTTCTCTCTCGCCGCGTCGGTGCGACGACGGTGCCTATCCGCGTTGGAGCGGCCGCCGGCCGGAGGCGTTGGTGTCTGCCGTTTGCGTCGCGCGCACCACCGCTGTCTCACCAGTTGGTTGGTTTTTGAGGTTGATAAATTCGATCAATGCTGATTTATTATTAGAGAAAAATAATGTTGAATGACTGATAAGCGCTACACTAAAACCAAACAAGAACGGACTGATTATCTCCCCGTATAAGACGGAAGCTCTGCTCATGAATCAATCTAGTATATACGTAAGCGCACTGTACCATCTCAAAAAAAAAGTAGAGAAAACAAAAGGCAATGAACTGGTACAAGAACGCATAGTACGGCCGTGTGCAAACTGCGGAATATGCACGTACGTTTGGGATGACTGCAGCTGCAGGTACCGCAGACAAGCAGCGCGAGGCAGGCGGCGATGATGTAGAGCTTGCCGACCTCCTGCCGCGCCGCGCTCCGCACCTTCTCCAGCTTCTTCTTCTCCCCCTTTCCCATGGCGACCAGAATAATGCAACTTCATTCTGCGAAGCTTTATAGGCCCTCGAATCGGCAAGGGAGTGTCACTGTTGGCGCGCCGGTGATGCATTGCTGTGCGGCCAGTTCTGCTCCAACTCGATCCATCAAACTTCCCATCGGAGCGAGCGACGATCCTCTGTTTCCGTTTCCTAGTACGACACGCGCAGCAACACAGCAGTGAACTGCCACAGTCGACAAACCGCTTTTTTTTCTCTGTTTGGTTAGAGGGACGGAGTGGGATGGGAACGGGACGAGTCCACTTTTGACGTGTTTGGTTGGGAGTCGAAGAGGAACAGGATATCCCACTACAGAATATATCTCCTGGCATATTCGCACAAACCGGGCGCGAGCTCGCCCCAGAAAAAAGCGCGGAGGCGGCGTCTCACTGCGATGGCGTGAGCATCGTCTTCAGCCTGCAGCGATTTCTCTCTCCTCCGATGTCATTCTTCCTTCTCGGCACCGGTCAAGCAAAGCCGAGCAGTGAGATCCGGCGTAGACCATCCGCCGCCACCGAGATCCAGCGACGGGCGAGCTCCGTCCCAGCGCGGCGCGGCCCCAGCTTGAGGACCTCTTGCGCGACGCGGCGCCTGGCGTAGCCCACAGAGCCGTTCAAAATTATTCCATCCGTTCAAAATTATAAATCACTTTGATTTTTTCATCGTTTCTCTGACAGCCTCGCCGTATAATCTTAACCCACGGTCCTACTTAATACAGTACTCTCCCTGTCCACGAAGCAATTCTTGTTTCTTCAAAAGTTAATCAGTTTAAACTTTGATCAAAATTATATAAAAAAATACTAACATTCTTGATATAAAATCAGTATCATTATACTCTCTCGATTCTAAATTATAAGTCATTTTGACTTTTTTAATTCATCTATTTTACTATGTATCTAGACATATTGTTATATCTAGATATATAGCAAAATGGATGTACCAAAAAAAAAAAAGCGACTTATAATTTAGAACGGATGGAATAATAAATTTATTTAAAGACATAAATATAAATATTATTTTCTATAAACTTGGTCAAACTTAGTTCACTTTGACCGGCATAAATTCTATAATTGTATTCTTTTATAGAGCAAGAGAGGATGACTTAAAACTACGCAATAAGCCAGCAGCCTGACAATGCCAGACCTCTCTGTACACCACTCACCAGGGTTTGAGTTCTTCAACCAGCAGCCTGACAATGCCAGACCTCTCTGTACACCACTCACCAGGGTTTGAGTTCTTCAACCGCCTTCCGGCCGGCGACCGGCGAGAGAACATCTCTTTTCCGTAGAAAATGCTATCCAGAGCTAAGCTGATTTTGGTTTAACGAAAGGGCTATTTGAAAAAAGAAAAGGCTCACTAGTTGTCATTATCCACCCTGTTTGATTTGATGTGACTTATAAGCCGGCTGATGCTGTTTTGTTGTGAGAAAAAAATACTATATCATGGCTGATAAGCATCGCTGATACGATCGAACGAACAAGGTCATCATCACAAACGAATTATTTGATCCTGACAACGTGGCATGTCCATGACCACTAGGAATTTCGCTGCGCTGCGCAGGGTGAAAATGACAGGTTGAAGCCGGCCATCCACGAGGTTTATTGCTGCAGACAGAGTAGCTAAAGTCCCTTTAGTGCCATAATTCTGTTTGTTTTGTATATATAGCTAAATGAATGTAGAGCAAAGGGCCTGTTTGCTTCCCGCCGCTACAGCACGCGCCGTAGCTGTGGCCGCGTCGCGAGTGGGGACAAACCGCCACACGGTTGGCGACCTTTGGGCAGCAAAAAGGAACTAGGTGTTGCAGTGGCCGCCAAATCTTCGGCGAACCACAGCGCGGGTGTTTGACCGACGCGGCGTGCCACACTAGCGGTGGGACGAGCTGCGGCACGATGTGGACGTGAGCCAAAGAGGCCCTAATACTGGAATGTTGATGCCATTCAAAGTAGTACGGTCAAGCCTCGACGTGCAGCTTTGTAGCCTGAGCGAGATACCGTCAATTCATATTCATATTCCAGATCCAAAATGTTTGTTTCAAAGTGAAGAAAATTTTACCTGATGGAAATTTTAAGACCCTTAGGATAAATGTGTGAACACCATTTGTCATGATATGGAAACTAAACGCAAGGGAAAAAATCAACATAATAAAGCTTTTTGGTATCATAATAGCAAAAACTTGTATAGAAACCTAATAATGTTATATATTCAGGGTATTCTTAGAACCACACACAACTCTACTATTACCATACCATTTAACGGTAAAAATCGACTTTTGGGTAGTTTTGGTTGCGACAAAGCACAAAGCGCTACGAACACATTTTGTTTTGATAAAGGTGGTACGCGTTCTCCCAATGCTAAACAATGCCTCTCAAATACAGATGCAAACATGCAATGTACATTTTCGTTTAGTTGTACTTCTATTTTGAGTGTCATACGAGATCGGAATAATCTGGATCCATATTCACATCAGCGTCGAATCTTTGATCATGCTACATTCAGTTGTACTGTATGGGACGAACTGCCAAGTGGTTAAATTTAGAACAAAAAAACGTGTGGATGATGAACAAACTCTCCGGAGAGAACAGAGAAATATGCAAATAAATTTCACTGACCAAGACATCAGGTGCTACTTCTGAACCTGAACCCTCTGAAACTGAAGATCAAGAGAAGGTTGACGCGTCGGTTAAACCAAGAGCTGGAAGAAGGAGCAGGAAGCCCAACTCCCGCATAACTGGACCGGACTGGGTGTGAGAAGCCCATATATTACATTTTCGCTTTTACTTGTGGTAGGCCCATGTAACAGGCGAGGGAGACCGCAGCGTCGGCTCCTATGTATCGATCCCCAAACAAAGAGGAGAACTCGAACTTGAACTCGTAACGGAACCGAGCCATTTAGCGTCGGCGGCGAGCTCGGCGATCGTCGGAGTCTCGAGATTCAAGCTAGTTAGCTTCACCACTATCTAGTCCGGTAACAAAATTGTAACTGAAGTTGAAGGAACAAGTAACCAAGACCTAGATGACGCCCTCCTCTGATGTGCAGTTTATGCTGAGGCGTCTATTTTAAGCAACCGCCTTGCATGACGTGAATATAAAGTCGCTCGACGGCCGACGCTGGGAAGAAGCTCTAACGCATACTGAGCGTTTACCGGTTGTTCATCGGCCGTGGGCCACGGCTGTGCAATCGCCACCCCACACGATGATCAATGGGCCCCAGAGGCTGGCCGGCCCGACGACGTTGCGCGCCTGGCGACCAGACATCATCGGGCTGATAGAACTATAGGATCAACTAGGCATAGATCTAATACGTACAACCTTTCTATTTGTGATAAAAGCTATAGATCATCCTAGTACATGAAGAAATAGAGTAACAGAGAGGAGAGGGTGGGAGGTGTGACATCACCGACCATCGGAGGGTTTAGCGAAGGAGCTGGAGCCGTCCATGGTTGATGGCATCCGGGCTGTGGAGTGGTGAGGCGCGTTGAGGTTGGTGTAGTGAAGACATTGGCGTAGAGGCAGCGGTGAAGTGGTCCAATAGAGCTTCCCGTCACCGGCTGCGCACCCTCTCGAGATCGGGCTAGGGTTTGTCGGTGGGGTCGACTGTGGCTGCTCACGGTGAACCTTGTGAAGAGAGCCGTCGGCCCCACCTCTATTTTTATAGCGTAGTGTGACGGGGGCCACCAACCATTTAGGGTTGGGCGCCCCCGATCAAGGCGCGGATCCAAGGGCCCAATTGACCGGTTGGAGGTCATCTAACATTCTCCCCCTTGATCTCACCTTATGACTTAATCTCAACTTACTTACTTTATCTTGTTCCCATTCCATCACAGATCAGTGCATAAAGCGTGTCTCATCATCACGGTCAGTTGCCATTAGATTAAACAGCTACAATACACCTCTCTGTTTTGAAACAATTCTCAACTAGGCCCTTATTGTCTAGAAATCATAGGCTCTCCCTTAAACCTATGCTGGCTAAGTGTTCTCTTAACATGCTGGGTGGTAATCTTTTGTAAGCGGATCCGCGAGCATCTTTTCTGTTCTTATATGCTCAAGACTAATTATATGATCCCGAACTTTATCTTTCACAACATGATACTTATGTCAATGTGTTTGGTAGCACCACTTGACTTATTGTTATGAGCATAACATACTGCTGGATTATTATCACAGTATAACTTAAGTGGCTTATGTATGTCGTCTACCACTTTCAACCCGGGCATGAATTTCTTTAGTCAATTCACTTGCCCTGTGGCCTCATAACATGCTACAAACTAGGCATACATTGTGGACAATGTAGTGATGGTTTGCTTTGAGCTTTTCCACGATATAGCTCCTCCTGCGAGAGTGAATATGTATCCTGACGTGGACTTTCTATCATCTTCCGCATAATCAGAATCTGTATACCCCTCTATATGTAGGAAATCAGATCTTCTGTACGTTAGCATGAGACCCTTCGTACCTTACAGGTAACACAAAACTTTCTTTACTAATTTCCAGTGTTCTATTCATGTATTACTCTAATATCTACCAAGCAACCTGGTAACAAATGTTAAGTCAGGGCGAGTATACACTTGAGCATACTGTAAACTTCCGACAGCTGAACTATATGAAACCGCTTTCATTTGATCAATCTTATATTGGTTCCTAGGACATTGAAATTCCCCATATCTGTCGCCTTTGACTATGGGAGTAGGTGAAGACTTATAATTTTGCACACTATATTTTTTTAGAACTTTTTCTAAGTATGTCTTTTGTGATAATCCTAAAACCTTATTTTCTCTATCTCGGTGAATCTCTATTCCTAGGACGAACGAAGCTTCACCGTGATCCTTCATATCAAACTTTGAGAACAAGAACTTCTTTGTTTCTAGTAGTAGATTAACATCACTGCTAGCAAGCAAGATGTCATCCACATACAAGACTAGGAAAATGTATTTTCCATTCTTGAACTTTGCATAAACGCAATTGTCCTCTACATTTTTTCAAACC